TCTAAATAATTAAAAAATAATTTAAAATAATAATTTTATTAAAAAAAATAAATATATATAAATATAAATTTTATAAATATAAAAATAATAAATTTAAATATAAAAAAAAAAATAAAAAAATAGAGAGAGAGAGAGAGAGAGAAATGGAAACACTCCACACACATTTGATGTTGAGATATATTCAAGCTATTTGGTGATGGGTGATTGGGTGTTGAAGAACCAATGTATACAGACGGTGACAATAGGAGGGCAAGGATTAGCAAAGAATAGTATGGTAATATATCACCACCACCACCACCACCACCACCAGCAACCAGCCCCTTTTTATGTCAAAAGCCCATGATAGCAAAACCCCGCCCTTGTTGCGCCAATTCTCCAAACCCACCCATCCACCCGTCCTTTCCCGTGCTGATAAAAGCCCATAAATAATTGCTGAATAATTCTACAAAAAAAAAGCCCTTGCTATAGGTGTCCTAGGCATTTATCCCCAACTCCTTTGCGAAGCCACGTCGTCGTGTTGATGCTTGTGATGGTAGGTAGTGATTACTCCTCCATCTGGTCCACCACCCCATTCGTCTCTTCCCCATCCTCCTCATCCTCCTCATTCCCAGCCGTCAACCCCAGTATCCTAGCGTATTGCACCGTCGTCCTCTGCAAATCCCTGAATTTGCCTATTTTGTCATATCAGTCCCTGTTCTCATAAAAAAGAGCAAGGCGATGAAAAACTTACCAAGAATCAACACCACCCCCTTCAGCAACTCCTTCCTCTCCCAACCACAAATCACCTCCCCCTTATCAAACCAGCCCCTTCCCTTTTCCCCCCCATCCTTATTGTCTTGCAACACGCCCCCTACCAACGTGTTGAGTAATTCCTCCACCTTTGACCGCAATCCTTCGGCACCGATCCGTTTGGCGTACATGAATAGATACAACCTAAACTCCTCCTTTGCCCCCAAGGCCAGAGCACCCGCCATGCGGTTCTCCAAGTGGGCGACAGAAACAACCGATTCGAACCCTTCAAACCCGTCCTTGGCTACGAGTTGCTTGATCAGTCGCTGCAAGGTGTACGCCCCGTCCCTTGACGAGGAATTCTGTCGTCGTGTGCCGCTCCAAGTGGGGGATTATACCCGCCGAAATGTCGGGTTTATCATCACCACCTGACTTTGGTTTCTTCGCCGGCGCCGAGGGGCCGACTGCTGTTGAGGAGAGGGCGGTAAGCGACGAGTCGTTGCTGTTCCAGTATTGGGATCCTAGCGCCCACCAGGACTCGGAGAGGCGTTGCCAGGTGTATAATGTGGGCAAGTAGTAGAATCCGTCGCCGTTGGAGAGGGTTACCACGATTGTGCCGAGACTGTTGAGGTGGGCGGAGGTTACTCCCGGGGCAGCTGTTGGTCCGTCTGGAGATAAAGAAGTGATGGCAATGTCGAGGATGGGGGCGAGGGATACGGGTGGGTGGGCAGCGGACATGGTTTTTATGTTGAAGACGTGGCACATGCCTACTGATGTTACGCATAGGAGCCAGTGGTCTCTTGACTCGAGGATTATGGGTTGGGACTCGAGTATAATGCCGTTCAAGAGGCGGCGGCCGGCGGGCGTCCAGGTGTGGAGGGTGCCGTCTTCGCAGGCGGCTGCCCAGAAGTGCTTGTTGCCTGTTAGGAGGATGATGGCGCGGGGGAGGTAGTCTTGCCAGAGGAGGGCACCGCGCTTGGTGGCGGTAATATGGGAGGGTTCGCGGGGGCGGGCGGGGTTTTTGGCCTCGAGGATGGTGTTTTCTGGGATTTTGGAGGCTTCTTCGAGGGTGGATTCCCCTTGAAGGACTCCCTTTTCGAGGGCACGGACAATGTGAGAGCGGATTTTGGGAACTGCTAGTCGTACTTGGGAGAAAGATACCGAGGGGCTCACGACGGCTGAGCGGAGGAACTCTGGCGTTGGGACGAGGCCTTGAGCGGGTGATGTGAGGGTTGCTGGCTCAAGGCCGTCGACTGTGTCAGCCATGATTGGTACAGGACCTGTTGCCAGCCGCTTGTTGGGTTCATCCTCTTCCTCCCCGTCAAGCACAACAGCTTTTCTCTTGGTGCCTAGCAACAAGGCGGCGATACCGCCTTTTGGTAGCCCATGGGAGGGTTTTGAAAGATCAATCACCGTCTGAGACGTCTCGCTTTGTATCGCAGTCTTGGACTTCGCGCCCACTAGCTGCGATTGTGGTAATGACAGTAAGCCAGTGCCGGATGACGAGACTAGCAGAGGTGCAACCCTCTTCCTTCCATCCTTCGTTACCTGCACCCGGGACTTCAGTTCGTTGATGCGCTCTGCAGCCTTGTCGGCACTCTCTGCGGCCGGCGTCTCCTTGCCTGACTTGGGCTCAGAAGTGCCATTTGTCTCTCCATTCTTGACCGCGTCACCGTTCTTTGCCTCGCCGTTCTTTGTTGACTTGGTGCCATTTGTTGTGGCAGCCGTGTCACTCTTCGAAGCAGCAGCAGCAGCAGCAGGCAGATCTCCCATCAGAGCCCCCATCCGGGACTCGGCCCCTCGCAACTCGCCAGCCTTGCTGTGATTCTCGAGGTGTAGCCCATCAACATCTTCTGCAGTTCCCATTCCCTTTCTGGCAACCCCGTACTTCTCGAGAGCCTTGTCGTTCTCCTCTGCCGTTGCTACCCACCCCAGCTCGCCAACTTCAAACTGAACCACAACGATGTTTCCATCTAAGCTGCAGGCAAACAAGGTCTGGCCATCTGGGGCCCATGCCAAGTCTGAAATGGACTTGGATGCTACATCCTGCACAATCACAACTGGCCGAGAGGTGTTTGTGTTCCATATACTCAACGTCTTGTCCTGACCAGCAGAGGCAATGACTGTCACCAGTGATCCGGATGCGCCCTTCTCGGCCGGGTTTTGGGTATGGAACAAACGAGGCGAGAACATACACGCCTCAGTTGGGCCTTCGTGACCAATCAGGTTGATCTGGCTGTCCCATCTTGAACGCTCAATGATGGCCACACTGCTGACCGGGCCGTTTACTGCATTCGCCGCCGCGATGTGATTGCCATCTGGCGACCAACTACACCTCCGAAAGTACGTGGTGAGCGGGGAGCTCTTGAACGGCGCACTGATGGTAGTCTCGAGAACAAAGTTGTTGACCATATCGTGGGCGGTGGCATTCGGAGCCGGAGGGGTAAACCGGAAAATCTTGATAGTCCGGTCATCACCGGCGGTAGCGAAGAACTTATTGGCCGGGTCAAAGGTGATCCCCTTGACATGGCTTTGGTGAACAGCAAGTGTCTTTAGCTTTTCGAATGTGTGTCCTGACCATACCACCACTTTCGAATCTAGACCAACTGAGACGAGAATCGAGTTGTCGTAAGACCAGGCGAGGTCCTGGACGTCGCTGTCGTGGCCTACGAGGCGTTTGTGGGTTTTCCAATTCTCGATGGGCGGTGGCTCGTTGGTGCCGAATGTGGTGGCGTGTGATGGAGGGTTGCTGTCGAGCTGGTAGATGCAGATGACACGGTCGTCGGCGCCGGAAGCGAGGTAGCGATTATTTGGGGAGAATCGGACGGAATGGATGGTGCCCAGGTGGTGGCTCATGTGGCAGAGCTGTCGCGGGGCCGAGTAGCCTTCGACATGGCCATTGTAGATTGAATCGGTCGACCAGATGCGAACATGGCCATCTCCGCCAGCGGTGGCCAGTCTCTTTCCATCCTGGGAGACGTGGCAGCTGTAAACCTCAAAGTCCTTCTGTTCGCCTGTAGGCAGCCGCGCGCAGCGATGGTCAGCAATTCCGAGGTGTTCTCAAGTGCAGAGGGAATTCAAGAGAGAAAACTCACCAGTATGGCGAAGCCACGAAGGCTTGATGATGTACATGTTGTGTTGGGTGTGCCAGTAACTAAGGATGGACGTATGTACTTATGACGAAGTTTTGGCGATATGGATAGTGATGGTTGAAAGAAGCACGCGTGCGCGCGCCGGACCGCGTCCGCTAGCCGGGTCTAATTAGAAGGCCGTAAGGCGCGCGCCCAGCGGAGGGGAGTGCTGGGCCAGTTTTTTCTTATCGAGATCTCGGCTAATCGGACATTTGCATCACCGTCAAGATGGGTACACTATTTGGAGCTGCAAGACCCGTCTCGTGTAGGCCACAAGCTTCTCGGATTTCCGCATCCGTAGGACTTTGATCAGGTTAACTCCTGATGGGGTTCGACAAAGTATACATTCCCAGTCTGACGGTGTATTCATTAACCGTTGTTCAATTCACATAAATCCCTGATGTTGATTTCGTTCCAAGTTCCAACAGCTTGGAATTCCAAAACCTTGGTCCAAAACGGGCTAGCGCCTTTGAGCTGCTGCCAAATTTATTTTTAACGTGGGGTGCAGCGGCCATCACCCCTCACCCTTCCTTGTCACAGCACCTTGATGGCCCACCATCCTACATCGTCATTCTTTCACCTGCCATCCGGACAAAAGACCGCTTGCGACATTCTCTCTCATTCCCAAGTCCTTACCCCTTGGGTTCCTGGACCTGGCTGGCACATCATACCATCCACTCCAGGCTGGGCTCAAACGAAGCACAGCCATCACCTAGCGAGTGGCTACTATGCCGTCCTATTCCTATCATTTAATCTTCGAGCTCTATGCGACGCCCGATCCCACCACCTCTGCCGTCGCCGATACCATCAACGACATCTGGGTCCCCACCCCAACCTGCCCGACAGTCTTTGACGATCTCCCCTCTCACACTCCACGCAGCGCTCGCCCGCCTTCTCCTCGACATCTTCCATTTCGACCGAATCATCAGAGTCACCATCTCTACGAAGCCGGACCAAGCTCCGTTCCCCCACCAGACTTTTCCTACGCGTCAGGCAAGGTAATCGACTGCGGCCGCCACCGAGGAACAACAAACGTAGAGCCCAACGAAGATATCACCCCGAACCCCGCCACCAAGCGACGCAACATTGTTCACGTAAGTGAGCGTCAGTGGCGCGAGAGAGAGACCTCAGACGACATCCCTCTCAAGCCCGAAATTCAAGGGATAGGGCCCAACAAGGCAACCAAAGACTGGCGATTCGGGCGCATCAACATTGAGAGCTTCGATCCCGCGTCTGTCCCATCAAACAACGGAAAGGCGAAAGAAGTCATCATGGAGGGACACGGCAGGCAGCCGGCGGCCAGCCTAGGTCCTAACCTAGGCGGCATGGGACAAAACACCAAAGGCCGTTACATCCCAGCAGTAAACACAAAGAACACGGAAGCTGGTTGGGGAATCGTACATCTATACCGGGAAGCCGACGAGTTCTCGGCGCTGAACTCACCACCCCCAATACCACCCCCACCAGGACTACAAGACAGCGGGGTTGGCGAGGAGGGAACAGTTTTGTGTATCCCAGCGGTGCCATCCTACATGTCACCATCGGATTTCTTGGGGTTCATCGGTGAGCCCTGGAGGGGAAGCGTAAGCCATTACCGAATGGTCTCGACAAGCAGGATGAACCGCTACATGGTCCTCATGAAGTTCAAAGACAAAAAGACGGCCACGGAATGGAGAAAAGAGTTTGACGGGCGGCCATTTGATACCTTGGCAGAGAGCGAGATATGTCATGTCACGTTTATCAAGAGCATCACTGTCGAGACACCAGGAAGAAAAGGGAGCGAAGGCGCCGGGGTGGGAAAGGGAGAGACGGGCATGATCAATTCCCTTCGCCCTTTCCCACCACCAACACCAAGTCTAGTCGAGCTGCCTACCTGCGCGGTTTGTCTCGAGAGAATGGACGACACGGCCGGGTTGATGACGATTTTGTGCCAACACGTGTTTCACTGCACGTGTCTCCAGACATGGAAGACGAGGGGCTGCCCTATCTGCAGGGCGACGAACCCGCTCACGAAGCAGCAGCAGGAGCTTGATGATGAAGGGAACCCCTACGCGAAGCCGTTTGGGCACGGGGTTAGTAATTTGTGCAGTGTGTGCGACGCGCCCGACAACCTCTGGATCTGCCTGATATGCGGCAATGTTGGGTGCGGGAGGTACCAGAGGGGGCATGCGAAGGAGCATTGGAAGGAGACGGCGCACAGTTTTAGTCTGGAGTTGGTGACGCAGCACGTGTGGGATTATGCGGGTGACATGTGGGTGCACAGGTTGATTAGGGATAAGGGGGATGGGAAGGTGGTTGAGCTGCCTAGTGGTAATACTAATACTGCTGGGAGTGGGAGGGGGGAGGATATGGATGTTGTGCCAAGGGCGAAGTTGGAGAATATCGGGTTGGAGTACACGCATTTGCTGACTAGTCAGTTAGAGAGTCAGAGGGTGTATTTTGAGGAGATGGTGAATAAGGCTGCGGATAAGGCGACCAAGGCGGCGGCGGCGGCGGAGAAGGCTGCGGGACAGGCGAAGGAGGCGTTGAGGGAGTTGGGGGAGCTGAGGGAGGAGTGTAGGGTTTTGAGGGAGGAGACGGTGCCGGGTTTGGACAAGGATTTGGCGAGGGAGAAAGCTAGGGGGCAGAAGAGTGCGGAGTTGGCGAGGAGTTTGGGCAAGGCTTTGCAGGAGGAGAAGCAGGTCACCAAGGGGTTGATGGAGAGGATTGAACATTTGAAGAAAGAGGGGGAGAAGAATGCGGCGTTGGTGGAGGAGTTGAGACAGGAGAACGAGGGGCTGAAAGAGATGAATCACGATTTGACCATGTTTATCAGTGGGCAGGAAAAGCTAAAGGAAATGGAGAAGGAGGGGCAGCTACAGGAGGGCGAGTTGGAAGAGGGGACGGTGGGAGTTGCTGAGGGGAGTAAGAAGAAGAAGAGGGGGAAGAATAAGAAGTAGGGTCTCAGGGGCTTCTCAGCGATTGTAGACATAGTTGGACATTTGTCGTACTTTCAGCCCTGTGGCAGCAACGAGGCATGACCAGGTGTGAGACGGCGCCAGCATCTTGCATGATCAGAGAAAATATGAATACAGCGTTGACTCTACAATTAATTACCATATGACAGCCGTGTCTCGACCCCGGTCTGAGGTGATGCAGAGCATGATGCATGTCTTGGCTGTCAAGCAACAGGTAATGCAAGACATATTGCGTCTTCACATGCAACTCATTCTGAAGATATTACCATCCGCAAGACTCTTCAAAGACTATCGTCTGCTTGGGATGTTGATTGGCCTCTGGACGGCTTACACGGTCAGCGCCTAGCTCCCAAACCGGGTCCAGATCCCGCCGGCTTGGTGCTTCTCAGCTTGGCAGTAACGCCGAGAGCCGAGGGGAGATGGCGAGGTTGCATGCCGATTCGGACATGTTGCTCGATCGTATGGCCGCTCGATCTCCGGTCGTCAAGGCTATTTTTGTTAAAACAAATGGTTTAGGGCAGTTGGATGGCTCGGTGGCTTGATGGGGCTTCCAGAGTGGGAAGGTTGGAATTAAAAGGAATGTTACGCACTGCGGTAGCAAACACAGATTTGGGGTAGGACAAGATCAGCAAGCACGTGTTTTTGGAGGTTTCACACCCCCGCAATCGTCATGGAGGGGTTTAAAGTAGATAAGAAAAGATCGGAAGCGAGGGCAGTGTTGATGCCCCTGGTCAATCTCATCTCATGTTTACATATTTCTTGATTGCTACTGTATGAATCAGGTATCTGTTATCTTCTGCATGCCACTGCGACGACGGATATGTCACTGCAAAGATAAAAAAGCTGGCTTCTTGCTTTCCGTGGCTGCATGCGGGCGTGCTGCGCTGCAGGTTGGAAGTGTGGCCACGGATAGGTAGCTCTTATCAATCATGACAGCTTCTAGCTGCCGATCAGCCAATAAGAGGGGTCTTTTTAGTGTTGAAATGTCACTGAAAAGCAGCAGCGAGCATCAACCTGACCCCTGTCGACGCTGTTCCAGAAAGAGGATGACATCGGCTTTTTGCCCCACCGTTTTGAAGGGGGGTCGCTGATTTTCTCTTTTTTTTCGCACATGCTTCCGGACTGGTGCTGTCACCCTGTCGTGTGCCCTGTGTGTACCTACGGGCACCTTCGAGAACCTCTCCCTCGCTCGAAGCTGTATCTTGCCATCCCTCGGTTCCCTTGTTTTTCTTCATTTCCTCTCTTCCTATGTAGCGTTGACTCTCTGAAATCTCACACAACTTATCTTGATCTTCTGATACCCTATACCCCAAGACACGACTACATCTCTTTCCTGTTGTTCCCCCTTCCCTACCCCGTACACCGAGAGGGACCCATCCGTCCGACCGGCCTAATCTGCGGGACCCCGAGTTGCGATCCCGAGCTTCATCGACATTTGCTCAACGGCACCCAACAATTCCCGTATAAATGCCTGTACCCCGCGCTGGCATTTAGATAAGAAAACAGAAGCGCGCACTTTATTTTCGAACAGGGCGAGCAACAAGCGATTGATCTTGGGGTAACCTCCATTTTATCTTGTACCCCGCGGGCAGCTCTACCAGGCCCAACGGCTAAACGCCATTATTCACAAAGGCAGACGAGCAAAAGCCACGAGGCGACTTCACAACCTACCTCGGGGGGGGAGGTGAAACGTTTCTTGTCCGAGTAACTTGCACCGACATCCCACCCACCGACCGGCGCGCAATCTCGAGTCCAATCCAACCCCACCTCCGTGCTCTTCCCCGGGCGACCCGAAATAAAAACTCGTTGTCCTGGCGCGGGGACAACAACAACAACAGGATTGCTTGAGTGAGCATGTCCGAAACAACACAGCTGCAGACGCAGCAAGCGGCGGCACCCCAGAGTGCCGCCAACCCAAAGCCCGCGAAGGAGCTCTATCCGATGGTGGGCTGGAAGTATGATAGCTTCCTCTGGATAATGTCGCTGCTGGAGGACACGTTCTTTCGCGAGGTGCATCCGCGTAGTGCTTGGAGAGTGCCCAAACATGGCCCTGTTCTGTTCGTGGCTGCCCCGCATGCCAACCAGGTGAGCTTCTCCCTATTCTCTTGAAGTGGCTAATCGCAATAGCTGACAAGTTATGTGGTGCAGTTCGTCGATGCTCTCGTTTTGCTGAGAACACTACAGAAGGAAGCCAAAAGACGAGTTTCGCTGCTTATCGCGCAAAAGTCAGTGTCTGGCTTCATCGGATGGGCATCTCGCCAGGTGGGCTGCGTGCCAGTAGGACGACCGCAGGACTCGGCGAAGCCCGGTCGGGGCACTGTTTACCTTCCCAACCCAGTGGATGACCCTACGCTTGTTCGTGGGATCGGCACCAATTTCACTGAATTTGGAGAGGTGGGCGGTATCATCTTCCTACCTTCGGCTAAGGGTCAGAGCGGAGAAAGTTTGGATATCAGCGAAGTTATTGGACCCGAGGAGGTTCGCATCAAGCGGCCGCCCAAGGGGAAGCTGGCCATGTCACAACTTACTGGCCGTGATGATGTGGATGCGAATGGCAAGCTTCTCAACAAGGAGGACAAGAAGCCCAGGGAGGGGTATCAGGGCATCAAGTACAAGATCGCGCCGCATGTGGACCAGTCCAAAGTGTTCCAGGCCGTGTTTGATCGTTTGGCGTCTGGGGGTTGCGTTGGTATCTTCCCTGAGGGAGGCAGTCATGATCGGACTGAGCTGTTGCCTTTGAAGGCGGGTGTGGCGCTGATGGCGCTGGGAACACTGGCGGATCATCCTGATTGCGGCCTCAAGATTGTGCCTGTGGGCATGAATTACTTCCACGCTCACAAGTTCCGCTCGAGAGCCGTTGTGGAGTTTGGGGCTCCTTTGGATATTCCGCGGAACCTGGTTGACGCGTATTCGAACGGCGGGACGGAGGGGAGACGTGAGGCGGTGGGTCAGGTCTTGGACATGGTACACGAAGCCCTGAGCGCTGTCACCGTTTCGGTGCCCGACTATGACACCTTGATGGTTATTCAGGCTGCGAGACGGCTTTACAACCCGACCGGCAAGCCACTGCCGCTTCCTGTGGTCGTCGAACTTAACAGGCGGCTTGCCTTGGGCTACGAGAAGTATAAGGAAGATCCGCGCGTCAAGGAGCTCAAGGAGGCGGTCACCGAGTACAATAAGCAGCTCCGGTACCTCGACATCCGGGACCACCAGGTTGAAAAGGCGAAGCTTTCGTGGTTTACCGTTGTCGCAACGTTCCTCCAGCGCGTTGTGATATTGTTTCTTTTGTCTGCGGGTGTGATTCCGGGTCTGCTGCTTTTTGCGCCCGTGTTCATCGCCTGCAAGGTCATCAGTCACAAAAAGGCCAAGGAAGCCCTCGCTGGCTCTGTGGTCAAAGTCCAGGGCAAGGACGTCATTGCTACTTGGAAACTGCTGGTCGCCTTGGCTTTGGCTCCTCTCTGCTACAACACCTATGCCATCATCACGCTTTACATGGTGCACAAGCACCGGTATTACGGCTGGGTCCCTGAATGGGTACCCTTCTGGGCTGTGTACATCGCCTGCTGCATCTTTTTCATCCTACTCACCTTTGCCGCATTGCGCTTTGGAGAAGTTGGGATGGATATTCTGAAGTCTCTGCGGCCACTTGCCCTTTGCATCAACCCTGCGTCCAGTTACAATGTGGCCAAGTTGCGGGAGAGACGCGCCGAGCTGAAGGCGCAGGTGACGGACATCATCAACACGATTGGCCCCGAGATGTTCCCCGACTTTGAGCACAGTCGCTTGTTGGCTCCAGCTGATTCCGCCGCCCGGGCAGCAGCTCGCAGGGAAGCCGGTGTCAACAGCCCGCCCATCTCACCCAACCGGCCTTCCTACGACCGCCGTTCCAGCTATGGCGTCTCAGTCAACGGAAGCGACAGCCCGCCATTCCAGGCACCCACAAGAAGGAACACCACCTCCTCCAGCCGCAACATCCCCTACAACGAATCATTCAGCAACATCGCGCAAGCGCAGATTTTTGCTACCAGGCCGACGACGCCTTCTAATCACAGTCGGGCGAGCAGTTCGGGGGGCAGGCCGGGATCGGCTGGTTTCCCGGTGGCTGGGTTCACGACGTTGGATAGCGCCGAGGGATTTGACGAGGCGAGCAAAAAGATTAGGGCTGCGATGAAGGAGAGGGGGGAGATGAGACGGCGAAAGAGCCAGGCGAGGCAGTTTATGATGGGGGATGAGGGGACTAGTGAGGAGGATGGGAGTGATGGGGTTGAGTTTGGTGATCGGAGGAAGGGGCAGTGAGAAAGAGGGGGGCGGGGGGCGAGAGGTTGTGTTGGTTAAGTTTTCTTTTGTCTATTTTTTTGTCTTTATTCGTTACTCAGGAGACTTTGTAACTGGGAGTAAGATACCCCCAGGAAGGCGGATGGCTGGCAAGCCGGTGGCCGCTCTTTGGTGGTGTTAAGGGGGAAGAGAAAGGAAAATATCTGGTATATGTTAGTCTTTTTTTTGTGGTTGCGGTTTGAATCTGAGATGGTTCTGGTTGTTTATATTGATGTGTATTTGTATTTACTTTTTTTTGTGGTTTTTCTATCTGGTGATGGTTGTGTGATGATTATGCTGAGTCATCCTTGTAATGAAGAATTGGGTGACATGCTTCAAGGCTGTTCTTCTAAGGTAGAAATGATGAATAATGACAATTAACTCAAAACTCCCAGCTGATGATACCCCAGAGTTTGTATTCCTGCCTATTGTTTCTTCCCTGTGTAGTCTCATCCATTCCCTGGCACGTCTGGCTCATGTCGGGCTAAGTCCACTATCCAAAGGTTTCAGCTCTCTCTGTTCACGACAGGTTCTTCCGTTCTATGCGATCATCCCGATTAAGCCGAAACAGAGACAGCCCCAGCAGTCCTTCTATCATCAGCATCAACGGGAAGTCTAATCCTGCTGTACCTCCCCCCTCTTTCCTCATCAGCGTCCTTGATCAGAAGCCCCATCTCGAAAATGACTGGCTTCCTGGCCGTCAGGAGGGAGAAGAGACCAACAAAGATGCTCAGAGCTCTGTTTCCGACCATGTTAGCCAAAATTCATCACCAGTTGTTTGCGGGGACGGGGACATACCCAACAGTTTCACTCAGAACCAACACCTCTGCAGCCGAGTATCTATAATAATAAGACGGGTCGGCCAGATCAATGCTCGCAATGACGATGGGGGGGATGCCCAGGATGATATCCGTCACCCGGGCCACGCCGTATCTTGGCTTCTTTTCATTGTCAGAGCCGTTGAATACGCAACTGCAGTCTCCTATTTGGAGGAGGATTGTTGGTAAACAGGGGATTTTGTGATGATGGTTGTGTGGGGAATGGGAGGGGAAGAGAAGGTGGAGGAGGTTGGAGAGGAGGAGGAACCAGAGCCAGATGTGGTTGAAGACGAGGAGGCCGTCGGAGAAGTACCCGTCGGCGAGCCAGACGGCGATGGAGGCTATGGTGAGGATGATGAGGATTATTCTGAGGAGGGTGGTGAGGGGGGTGGAGAGTTTGTAATGTTTGGAGGTGGTGTCATCGGGGGAGGAACTGGTGAGGGAGGCGGCGTGGGAGGAGGAGGGGGGTGGGTAGACCTGGGGGGGTTAGCTTGGGACGCAGTGGTGAAGGGATAAAGGGGGGGAGGGCTTGCCATTGCCGGTTTGAGACCTGCGGTGGTGATGGTGTGAGGGGAGGAGGTTATGAAGGGGGAGGTAGGTCGTGAGGGATCCGGGGGAGAGGGTGGGGGATGACATTAGAGGCTCGGTCCCAGGTTTGGTGGTCATGACGGACAGAGAAGATTGATGAATTGGAACGTGTTTACTCAAACTATTCTTCTACCCGTGCAGCGAGGGGGATATCCTCTTTTTATCAACCCGGCACCCTCGGTCATGTTCGCTGAGAGAGCTCACAACCAACAACACAAGAACCCAGCCCCTGAGCCCCCACCGTTACACACAGCATTCAAATCCAGACCAAAGCATGAGGGGGTCGACCGTTTCCTATGGTCCTGACGACATGCCAATGCTGTTTATTCTGATGCCTGGACTTGCAAAACACTCATTGATTGGACGAAAAGTGGGCGGTTGGCGAACATGAGGAAAGATATCGTCTCAAAAGGTGAGAAAGGGGGGGTGCGGACGCGTCACCTACAGGTTTGCGGCGGTAATGCTGGTCTTGCTTGGGCCAAGCCCATGCATGCAACATCTGCCAGGGATTTGTGGATGGTCTCTAGAGGAAACACAGAGCTTCAGCACTTGTTGGAAAACGAAGGCTTTGAGGAAGATGGAGGAAGACTACACGTATAATGGATATGGAGGATGTGTTGTGTAACTGGGCAACGTGTGTTAGGCAACAGAACGAGAAGTGAAGAGTGTGATGCTGGTGATGATTGCCCATGAGATGAGGGCAGGAGCAAAGGAAGAGCTTCAATGATTGAAAGTGAGATACCTAAGATGATTGAATATAGAGAGATTGAATGTGCAATCTGTTTGGAAAGCAATTGTTCAATGACCATGGCATCATCTCTTGCATGAATCTTGGGGTACAGCCCTCTGGCAGCATGCACTTGCACAGCAAATCAGTGAGAAATTCTCTTCATCAAAGTAAGGGCTGGCCATGTTGTAGATATATCGAAGAACATTGGAAAGTGATGGTTGAAACCGAAGCTCAATGGAAGGCGGTTCATCTTATCCAAGTGAATGGCGGGGATGTCCTGGTGCTATTCACTTGACAGGTGCTTGTGGAGGAGTGGTCAGTGCGGTAGCTGCTGCAGGGATTGAAAATTTTGTGGAGCAAGAGCGGCAGAAAAAGGGCGGTGAAGTGAATCGCGCCTGGAACGTAGCCATATTTTTTTCTTGCGACAGCCACTCTGACCCCGCGACGCCTTCTTTCAGATTGTTCAAGGTTTTGACACCCAATTCACCAATCCTCACCAATTGGGCCATCTTTTCACCAAATACTGCCCATGTCAGCTCCATTCTGGCTCTTCTCTAACAACTCCGCGGCAACCACAACAACTCAGTCTCCCAAGTCGAACGACAAGACCACAATGGCCAAAGACAAGAAGGTCAAGGCCGACAAGGTCACCAAGTCGACCCCTGCCGCTACCCAGCTGCCTGCCCAGCTCCTCGACCTTGTAGAGAAGTTTCTCTCTGAGCATGATTTCACCGAGGCCCACACCGAATTCACCAAGGCTCGCAAGGCCAAGGGTTTGAAGAAGGCCAAGGGAAAGGCAACCGACAGCACTCTGGAGTCCGTCTTCCAGGCTTGGGAGACTTCCAAGGCCAAGGCTTCTAGTGACGACGATTCCAGCAGCAGCAACGAGTCCGATTCCTCTTCCAGCAGCGACAGTGATTCGGACTCGGACTCGGACTCCGAGAGCGACAGTGATGATGTCGAGATGGCCGACGCCCCGGCCGACTCTGAGAGCTCTGACTCTAGCAGTAGCTCTGAGAGCTCCGACAGTGACAGCTCCGACAGTGACAGCTCCGACAGTGACAGCTCCGACAGTGACAGCTCCGACAGTGACAGCTCCGACAGTGAAAGTGAGAGCGAAAGTGAGGAGGAGAAGAAGCCTGCCGCTTCCAATCCTTTGAAGCGCAAGGCCACGTCCGAGAGCAGCGACTCGTCGTCTGAGGATTCCTCCGGCTCTGATTCCGAGAAGGAGAAGCCAGCTGCCAAGAAGCAGAAGACTGCCACCGCTAAGGCCGAGTCATCCTCCTCTGAGTCTTCATCCGACTCTTCTTCGGATTCTTCTTCGAGCTCCGATAGCAGCTCTTCTGATTCTTCTTCCGATTCCGACTCATCGTCCTCCGACTCTTCTTCCGACTCCGACTCGTCCGATTCTGATTCATCTGACTCCGACTCTTCCGATTCCGAAGACGTAGCCGAGGAGGCTGCTAAGGTCCCCCTCCCCGACTCCAGCGACGATTCATCATCCGATTCCTCCTCCGATAGTGACTCGGACAGCGACTCCGACGACAAGAGCAAGACTAAGACAAAGAAGTCCACCAAGACCAAGGCGAACAGTGACACCTCCGCGAGCGGTTCCTCCAATAGCTCTGCAACCCTCAACGGGAGCACCTCGCCTAAGGTTTTCCCCGTCAGCACCTTCGCCCCTCTTCCTCCCGACCCGTTTGTGAAGACCAACAACCGCGGCAAGGGCGCTTCAGTAAAAGAGGAGAAGGTTCCCTTTTCCCGTGTCAACCGGAACATCAAGGTTGACCCTAAGTTTGCCGACAACTCGTTTGCGGGTGAGGACTGGGGAAGAAAGGCGCACGAGGACCTCATTGTCACGAGGGGCAAGGGCTTTACAAAGGAGAAGAACAAGAAGAAGAAGGGCAGCTACAGGGGTGGCAGGATCGACACTGGCCTGCAATTGGGCATCAAGTTCGACGATGACGGAAACTAAGGGCAGCAATGGGGGGTACATGGATATACGCAGAAAGATTTCAGGAGTTGATAATTAGGCACAGAGGAGAGGTCGAGTGGTCATAAGGCAAGGTGTATGGGAAGCCAACCAGATAATTCTATCAAGAGAAATGGATGGATAAAGAGATGATATTATAGAGCTTTGGGTGTTTGGCAGGCGAGCCAGCAAAATAAAGCGTGGTGTTTTTGCGGTAGATGTTGGTTTTAGTGTATCACTTTATGTTGTCTTTTTCTATCAGTTACCTAGAGAAAAAGGTGTTGTTTTCTCAATATCCATTAGGGGCACATACTTTGAGGAGTTGGGAAATCATTTGTTTTTATTTTGTGTACACATATTGAGCTTTGATGAGGTGTTGATGTGTCTGCATTTAATGGTGACTGTCTGTTTCGGTTTCGTGTTGCTTTTTCAAACCAGGCCAAGGCATGTACATCGAACTGTGTAGCTTGGAATCAAATGGGTAGCCCAACTTTTTCCATTGACAGAAAAAGAGGTAGGGGATATAGGATATGGCAGCACACACGTTGAATACGTGATGTTCAAGCAGACCATGCTTCCGGAAGCTTGGATCATGGGGTCACAGGTGACTGGAGCTCACTGCTTTGCTGGCAGAGATGGAAAAAGCCGAGGGTGAGAAAGGGATAGATGGCGACTGACGTGATAGGCAATTCCACATATGAAGAGTTTCTTAGGTTAAGTGGATGAAGAGAGAGAATCATCGACGTTGTGTGGTGACGAGTACAATGATAGTTTGTTTCATAAACAGTTCTCTCGATGGGACTTGAAATCGAAAGGAGGGTGCCCAATTTCGGGAGGATCATTCTCCAATGCTTGAAAGCAATGTTCTCCAGTGAACCTGTGTCAAGCAATCCGGACAAACGGGATGCTGGGCTTCGTGGCAGACAGAAAGCTGCTTCTAATAGTGGACGAAATAAGAAATCAAAAGTTGAATGAGTAAGGGAGGCGGGCAGTGCTCAACCTCTCAAGAATTTAAGACAGAAAATGCGGCAGGAGTGCCTCTCGAAACAGCCTGTATTGTACACTAGACAGTCCAATGTCCTACCATCTACCTTGAAATGAAAAAGGGGCAGGTGAGGTATGTAAGGTGACCCCCCAAGGTGAGCAATTGTGGCTGAGGCGGCTAACCGAACTTCCCATCCTATCTATGTTCATACTCAGAGCCTCGTGGTTTGCCGCCGAACTCACCCACCAACCCCTAAACGCACACCCACGGTTACACAAAGTGGCCTGTCACCTCCATATTGGGGACTGCTACACATTCATAATTTCATGCTCCCGCAGCTCAGTCTCATTCCCCACAATCTCACATGCAAAACTAACCAGCCACACTTTCCCTCGGTGAGGCTCGTTTCAACAGCACTCGACCTTATCTCACCTTGAGATGTGTGCCTTTTCCGGCCGAGGTCACCTCAAATGACACGTCAAAAAAGCGGTAAGCAAGAGACAGACTTACAACAGTGCAATGGGACACATCAAGAGGGGTCCATTTTTGCGGGGCACCTGTCCGCGAACTTTCAAACAAGGGAGTTTGAACGTGTGTAAGTGGTTCGCCGGGTTAAGGGTTGGGGTTGTAGGTGGAGTGTCTGAAAAGCTAGGAATGAAAAATGTCACCAATCTCGGGTTTAGGCATGAGCAGTTGTGCCTTGGGCGGAAATCTCTTGACGGGACATGGCTGCTCTTTACGAGGGAAAACCGGGAATGCTGGTGTGATGCTGGTCTCCCCTCGGCCATCAGATATCTGGCGGTGAGACCCGAGGTCCCTGTGCTATTTTTTCAGCTGAAGGGCTGAAAGTTGCACTAGAAGACGTCTATTGATCGAAACTATTGATGTTAGCTGTTGACACGGTGTTAGAGAGGATGTGTTTGATTTTGTGGAACTGGGGAGGTGAAGGCGGCTCATCTGAGCAAAGGCGAAGCCTGGAACATCTCCCGTGTAGCAACACCTCCGCCAGCTCTTGAGGCGGTGAGAAGACGATGATTTTCTAGAATATAGTTGGAAAAGGTGAGGCACCCCATAAGGTGACCGGATTGGAACAGCCATCAAGGTCTGCCGAGTGTTGAGGACATTAGTCGAGGTAGGGATGAAATGGCTGTCTGGTCGTCTTGCCACCTTTAGTCAAGCCATCAGACTAGACTCGATAACAGAAATGCGGCGAATGGTGTCCTCCACAGGTTCGCCATATCTGGACGAGATCTGAGAACCACCGAGGGACTTGGGCCCTGAATCAAGGTAGCGGAGGCCGAACGGAGAACTGCTATGCTTGGAGCTGGCGAGGCAGATTGATGAGGTTTGGATGTCCATGTTCGAAATGTGGGCCTAGAAAGATCTTAGGGTGACGGTACGAACGCTGCGGAGACTTTATGGAGTTCGATATTGAAACTCTGGTTCGGTGCCGGCTGCGTGATTCCGGAGATGAGGGTCACCAGGGTGTAGGCAAGTTGATATCGGAGGCCCTGAACTTCCAAAAATATTAAAGTTCAGTCAAGCATTGACCAGACATACCTTTTGTGGAATAGAGATCAGACTAAGATCCTGGTTCAGATGGATGTCGGGGTGGCTTGGCTGTTCCTGCCCTGGTCCGATGTTTAACGGTTCCAGATGGAACATGGGCACGGGCGATATCCCAAGGAACTGGAACCAGGGGAAATATCCTAGAACCGGCAGTTTAGTTTGATGCTAGCACGAATGAACGAAAAAAAGACCCGAGTGTGGCTGATGGGATGGCCATGACTCCTTGACCGTAGTGCGGTAGATGTGAGGCCTGGTCCTATGACAAACGGGATATGCACCCGAGGAGAGGGCACCGGTTCAAGGAGGGGCTTTAACGAAAAGCCTGCCAAGATCCATTTCCTCAAACTCGATGGGGTGGAAATGCCTAATCCGTAGTTATGAGGGCGATGAGGCAATGCGGAGGAATTAGATACCGCCCTTCGGAATTTAGCACTGGGCTGGAGATTCGGGTCTCGTGTTGATGCTGGTATGGGACGGCGTCCTCCCAGAGCGGTTCATCTTGGGTGAGAGCATCATTTTATGGTAGATTGAGGCATTGGAATGATACTGTATGATCAAGTCGAAGCAACCATGTGTTGTAAGACCACGAGCGTCTCTCCACGTGGTAAGCTTTGAGATGTGTTGGATGAAGGACAAAAAGGGACAGGGCCACAACTCTTGGCTCTGTCATGAGAGAGAGCCAATCAGTCAGCCTTATCGTCGGTAGCCAATGGGGACTGTCCATATCAGAAAACAGTGGGTCGAAAGTGGCACTGCAAGTACCCAAAGTACCCTTGTCGGTTGTGCCGCCGTAGGGCTCTCACCCAGGGCGCGCTCACTGTCGCGAACTTCCCCGCGTCTCTGGGCTGTTGGAGCCTGGTCATTCCGTTGGCGGTTGGCGATTTACTCGGATGGCGGATGGTGTTAACATTTCGCTTCTTTGCTAAAACCGTCCAACTCCCTCACCATGCCGGTGACCGACCCGGTGACTGTGAATACCTTCATCAGTTCCCTCCGGCCTGGTCTGGCCGTCCCCGCGTGACATCACCGCCTGCGCTCTCAGGTCCCCCCCCGCCATCAGCCAAAAGGCATCCATCCTCCTCGTGCCCGCCTGGCGGCTGTGAGTTCATTCAGCTCGCTCTCCAAATCTCACCCCGCCATCTCACTCACCTCATTCACACAACCAACTGTCTTTTCTTTCATCAACGCTCATCAAGGCGATTCATGGTGGCAAGCGAGGTCCACATGGGTATAACTTGCAGCATAGACACGGTCGAGTTTGACAGCGATGCTGAAAAAAATAATACGCAAGTCCCCGAGGAAACGCACCCGCACTCAGTCAATATCACCCACACGGCGCTGGCTTACAAGATCGATGGCTGACCTGTTCGTCCACAGGCCCGACGTTGTGAGTGAAGCTAGCCCAAGAAGCATGGCTGTAAGAAAGGCTCAAGGCTCTGGCGCTGAGTCCTGTACTCGGCTCAACGGGGTGTCTAATGGTAATGGAACTCGAGGTGAAGGCTGGATGGCTCAGTATGACTGCGTTGGGCCACTGGAGGCTGCTGCAAGAAGACGGAATCCAGAAATCGATTCATCAAGCCCCTGTCTCACAGATCAGCTTCATGCTTTCACTGGACGGACGTCTGAAGAAACAAAGAAACCAAAACCATGGTCGTTACGGAGTTCTTCGAGAAATGTGACGCTCTCAGCTCCGAAAGAGTTCTTTGACGCAGCAGATAAGGACATTGAGGGAACTATCACGACGTATGACGAGCTACGGAAGGCACTCAAGGACCACGAAGATGCACTTTCGTTTGAGAATACCTGCAGGATCAACGCTTCGGTGCTCGAGATCAAGGCCAACGCTAAGCTTCAGGCTCTCAAAAAGGACGACATCGAACGCTATTACACGCCAGCTCCGCCCAGGCAGGGGTTTCAGGGCCAGGAGCATCCTCGTTTCTACGGAGATCATTTCCTTTCCAACATCGACTTAATTCAACAAACCCAACTTTTCAGTCTCTTCCGCGCCATGCCCAAAGGCGCTCATCTTCATATTCACTTCAACGCTAACCTATTACCAAATTTTTTACTTGATATTGCGAAGGAGATGACCCGCATGTATATTTGGTGCAACATGCCACTGGTGAATGACAAGGGGCAGGTAGACCGGACCGCTTTGGATCGGTGCCGGGTACAATTCAGTATTATGAACGAAGCGGCAGTGAAGGAGCGAGGCGAGGGCAATATTTTTGATGCCGCTTACCAAAACAGGACTGTGATGCAGTTCTCTAGGTTTCGGGAAGAATTCCGCCGGAGGTACGCCCAGGAGGACGTTGACAGAGTTGATAAATGGCTACAAAACAAGCTGGTCTTTGAAGAAGAGGAGGCCCACGGTTTGCTTCAAACAGCAAAAGGGTACGTAGACTCCGTTTCCTTGTGAAACCATTGCTAACCAGCAGTACAGGGCATGGGAAAAGTTCAACGCGAGAACGCAAATGATGAAGGGCCTCTTCAACTATAAAAGTGCATACGCAAGATATACACGCCATTGCTTAGAGGAGTTCGCCGATGACAACATCCAGTACGCCGAGATCCGTGTGAATTTCATGTCGACAAACCAAGTATGGGAAGATGACGGGTCCAAAAAACTTGACAACGAAGGAATCACAGATCTGATTATCGATCAATACGAGAAATTCCAACGCCAGCATCAAGGAAAAGTGGTTCAGGGGCTCAAGATCATCTATTGCACGCCACGGTCATTCGACACCGAGCAGGTGGAAGAGTCGCTTCACGAGTGTCTCGAGTTCAAGCTCAAAGAGAAGTACTCAAACTACATTGCCGGTTTTGACTTGGTTGGCGAAGAAGGCAAAGGTCACCCCTTACATTATTTCACAAAGCAGCTGCTTCGATTCCAGAAAGCCTGTCGCCTAGCAGGAACCTCCATACCGCTTCTGTTACACTGCGGTGAGACTCTGGATCATGGCGATGAGACGGACAGAAACCTGCTCGATGCTCTCCTGCTCGGGTCCAAGCGGATCGGCCACGGGTTTGCCCTGCCGCGGCATCCTTTTATTATGGAGCAGATGAAACAGCACAACATCTGTGTGGAAGTGTGCCCAATATCGAACGAGATACTGGGACTCACGCCGAGAATAAGCGGGCACTCTGTGTACAACCTGCTGGCTAATAATGTCCACTGCACTGTGAGCACCGACAACGGGACACTATTTAGGTAGGTTTCCTTTGATATTGTCTCTTGCCAGGTATGCTGACGTGCTCTAGATCGCGATTATCACACGACTTTTACCAAGTACTGGCAGGAAAGGCAGACATGACGCTCCATGGACTTCGGCAGCTAATTGAGTGGAGTCTTGAGCACTCGTGCATGGATGCAAAGGAGAGGGAAAAGGTGCATACCGCTTGGCTCCACATGTGGGAGAAGTTTTGTCTGAGGATTGTCAAGGGTGAATTTGACCAACCGCAACAGCGAAGAGACGGCGAGGCTACCTTGGGGGTGGCTGGAAACGAGAAAAAGACAGCTGCTATGCCCGGCCCATGATTCTTGGCCTCTCCCAGGCCCAGTAGAGACATGGAGAAACAGGAAGAAAGGTTTCGGGCGGTAGAATATGACAGGTATATGACAAAGACAGCAATGTGTCTGGCTGGGGTTTGTTTTGCAATCATGTCATGGTTCACGGTCATAAACGGGATTTTAAACGGTAGGACAGGGCACAGGGGGTATATGACGATGATGATACCATGTTTGGGAACGGATTAAGATTTTCTGGGCCCTCTTTGTTTGAGTATGACAGGCTCTGCTCACGGGCCGCGAGGCCATGTTTGGGGGTCGGGATGGAAGAAGCGATACATGTCACATTCGTGAGTCCTTCTTAGGAGGCAGGGTTGGTTCATGGGTTTACTGGGCTGGTTTACTGGGCGAGTTACACACTGGGTTGTTAGACGGGCAAAACAAACGGTTGACGGGGACAATGGCAATGGATTTGGAGTTCATGGCGTTTACTCACCTCAACTTCACCTTCGTCATCTCTCACAGCCAGCAACCAGTTTCAAGGCGATTTCCGGATGACTGAGATGACAGATCAAACTTTCTCCTTTCTTCGGCCCTCTTCCCTTTGTCATTGTCAACCTTTACTCAATTCCCACCTGATCTCTCACGCCTGTTATCGACAAAGCGATCAGGCTGCCAGAGCCTCATGAGCAGTCCGTCAAATCAGGTACGTCTCCATTTTGGGCCGCCCCGCATTTACATTGCCATACAACTGTTGGCTGCATCATGTTTGCACCTTCGCTCGGATTTGCGGACCAAGCCATCCACCTATCCATCACCCATCAGGCTGAGGGGGGGCTGAGACGTGCGCGCGGTCACGACTTCAACCACTCAGGCAACATCGCTCGCATTACATAGTTCCCATCCCACCATCCCTCAGGAAAGTGAAGGGGGAACGACCGGGGGGGAATTTCCCTTTCCTACAACAAGAAGCCTACACTATTGTTCCACCTGAGGTATGTGTGTCAGCGTAATTGGACAAGGTCGGCGATAGACTGGGTCCAAATCAAGGCTTGTAAGCGCGCCGCAGAGGCTCTACGGTAAACAATCGACTTCGTTTCCAGGACATGAAAGATCATTCTCGGGGTGGATGGTTAGAGAATACATTCTATGCAGGGGCCTTTTCCACCCGCTCCGCTCCCGTTTTTGGCCTTCTGAGATCTTACTATCACTGGGTACCGCTGCCGTGGAGCTGGACCAGGCTGAGATGTCCAGGGACGAAGGAATATGAAAACCCTGGTTGAAGATGTGGTATTAAACCCACTACAGCTCACCTCCATTTCATCTTCTTCATTTAGCACATAGACTGAAGTCAGCAGCGTTTTTCTTTTTGTCTTATGTCTAGGTGTCGGTGAAACCGCCAGCGAACAACCTCAAAGTTTGCCTTACTCGTCGGGCGTTTCTCTCACACACGCATTTTCCAATCGTCGCTTCTATTGCCTGTTTTCACCCCACCGATTGGCGAGACAGGTGTAACGCACAGCTACCATACGGTGCACCTAGATTGTTTGCGCCAAGCTGAACTAGAGCTGAGCCTTCAATCATTCCTGACTGGGCGTTTCGAGCGTCGACGACGTGGCCGCGCGACGAACTTTTTTCTTCTCTCTGAATAGTTGTAAACAATACAGTGTCGGTCTCGTCAAGGTTCTCTTTTACTCTTACTCTTCAGAGTCGTATCTAGGAGACGCTGAGCGCCTGTATTATACGTTATTCTGGACAGCATCATCGCCATGTCCAGCCTTCCGCTGCCTCTGGATGAGGATGCTCCCACGGGAGCGCTAGCTTGGTATGTATTTCCCTCGAATCCCTTCAGAACTTACCTTAACAGAGTAACTAACTTTCAACAAAGGTTCCCATACGGCCGTCAGGATCTTCCAGGTTGGCGCTTCGACGTCATCACCCTCCTCGCCATCATCGGCGAGTCCAGCGTCGCTGAACACGCCCAAACCCTCACAGCATCCCGTCTCTGCCTCCTCCCACGTATCATTCCCGCCCCTCAAGCCCTCCTCAAACCAGTGCGGCCTCAACGACTCCCAGAAGCCAACGCCAAAATGACAGGCGTACACAGCGGGGTGGTTCTCGACACGGTAGGTTTCTTCGCAAACATCCTACAACCCCTCGACGAGATGAAGCCCTTCTCCTTCAAAGTCCTCGAGATCAAGCACACGAAGGAAGCTTTGGAAGCCATCGAAGCGGGTAAAATAAGAGAGCAAAAGGGGAGACTTACCACCTCCACCAAGGGCAGCAACTGGTGGAGAAGAGGCTGGAGAGGGCAGCAAAAACCAACAGCACCGCATATGAAACCTACCACTGATACCACCACAGTCCTCACCCCCTCCCGACCAAGCTTCTTCGACCCAGCCAACGCCAACCCAACCGAAAAACCACCCACCCGTAAACCCACTGTTCAGTTCGCCACAGCAGCGGCAGACGACGACCTCGAACGAGGCGGCTCTTCCACCACCACGCTCACAACCTCTAATAATAACCACCCCCACCACCTCCCCCATCACCGAACATCAACCACCAGACCCTCCGTCCCGGCAACGTTATGCTCCCCCGTGCACCTACTTTCGATTTTTTCATTTGCCCTCACACTGGCAATCATCATCCTCTCCGCCCTCTGGGAAGACGGCACGGCCATTCTGGCCATAGTATTGATGTCGCTGGCCTCGTCGGTGGTTTGCTACGCCTCGCTGTGGAAGCCCGTTCTCATGAACAGGACCACTTCGGGCAAGGTGCCCGAGGGGGATGTCGTGATCAGGACGAGGGAGGGGGCGTTTCTGCTGATCAAATGCACCGAGGAGGTGGCGCGGGAGCTGTATTCCGGGACGGAGGAGTGCAAGTATGTGGTGGAGAGCGATCTGTACAGGCTGTACATGGGGTTGGGGATGGTGCTGCTGATGGTGAGCGTGGTGTTGCTGGGGAACTGCGGGTGGAACAGTCAGGTGCTGATTGGGGGGGGGTATATCTGTTTGAACGGGCTGTATTGGATGATGGGGTTGGTGGAGGAGAAGAGGTTTTGGGATGTGGATAGGAGGTATACCGTTCGGGATGTGACCAAGGAGGATTCAAAGGGGGCGCATGCTTTTCCGGAGGGGAAGGATAAGTGGGAGAAGGATCGGTTGGAGGATGATGAGATTCCTAGTTTTACGAGGACGATGTGGTATGCGATCAGGGAGACGAAGGGGCAGGTGGCGTGGGTGAAGAGGAGCGGGGCGATGCCGAAGACGAAGCAGTGGAAGAGGTGGTTGGAGGAGGCGCAGAAGATGGCTGAGAAGGGGGAGAGAGGGTGGAAGGCGGTGAGGAGGAAAGGGGAGATTATGAGGGAGGAGGGGGCCGAAGATGATGCGGAACAGATGGCGCCTGCGCAGGAGGTGCAGAGGAGGGGGACCGTGAGGGGGGAGTGAGGGAAGTTGTGTGGTGGGTGTTGGGTTGTATGAATATCATGATGCCTTGGGCGTAGCATTGGTTTGGATCTAGGATAGTGACCATCATCATAGAAAAAGGTTGGGTAGGGTCAAAATACTAGGACTCTCATGAGATGTCGTCAAACGTGGATCGCGAACACGAGCACTAGCCTTCAAAAAAACGTGAAACAATCTTTCGTCGACGCTGGAGTTAACGTTTGGTTCCATCCGAACCCCATAGCACAGCCCGGGCCTGGCCCTTGAATCCCGAGAGCTTGGGACCCCGCGACAAGCTTTCTATAAGTTGGCTCGAGCTTTCATGAACCTCATCTACTTCAAAGACTGACTAGGCCCCCGTTTCTTCACATGGCAGATGTACCTACTAGCCTGCAAGAGCACATTTCTTCCCCTGAATCTCCCCGGCATTGTCTCGTCACCATTTACAAAGTAGCCCAGCCTCGGAATACAAAGGAAGCAGAAAACATGCCGCGGCATGCCGTGCCGTACCCCCAAAACCCGGAGACATCGGAGGTGGGGCCGGATCTCGGCCGGGTCTCGGCCGGCTAAGAACCTCATCTTCACCTCGGCGCTGGCCAAGAAACTCCGCAGGTTTCCCTTGGGATTTTCCAGCTGTTAGGAACATGCCTGGAAACCCAGAAGCGTCATTTTTTTCACTGCAAGGTTCCATGTTGTCGATCACTTTTTGATGATGGCTGATAAGTGCTGACGTGCAGTTTTGAATCCATCCATCCCATCCCACATCCGCTTGTTGCGGTTAGAGAAACCGGATATTTCCCCAAAGGGGTTTTTTTTCTTTTTTTCTTTTTTTCCCTTCCTGTGGCCTCCTCAATGCCACCGGGATTTATGGAGTATTCCACTCAAATCACAGTCCCATCCTCCACAATTGAGGATATCACAGTGGGATCTCTGCAAAGTTTCTCAAGTTTTCAGACGATGGCGCCATCGTCCCGCATCTCCATTTTCCTGGATCTGGATTCTGAACAAAAAAGTTTTGAAGGTGGGGTTGGTTGGTTGAAGTGGATGAGGTGGATTTTGAATACGAAACCCTGCAAGGGCAGGGCTAGGTGGAATTAGCCGAAGCGAGTGACTCACAAAACTCAATTGCTGTTCAACACAACGGTTGCAAGTGGTCAGCAAAGCAATTGGGGGTTTTGATTCGACGGCGCAAAAAGAAGAGGTGAGCTTGTTGTAAGAGAAAGGGAACTGCAGCGGTCTTGTGTGTGCTATCGTCAATATATCCAGATGTGGGTGGGCTTTGAGGCGGAGTCGTGTCTTGTGCCTCGAATGTAGTGTAAGGCTGCTGTTTTTCCATCCTCGATGCTGTGCGACCGACCGCCTCGCTGTTGTTGCCCAATCTTCACAGCCCTCGAGGACATCTGTCTGGAAACGTTTCCTTTTCTTCTTCAGCCGGGAGAAAGGACCGCAAGTCGATAGGACTACCACCGTAGCTGCGCGGTCCTAGCGGCTCTTCAACAATTGGACGATGTTACACATGCAAGCACTTCGCAAGGCGTTGCGCGTCCGGGCAGTCGGTCCCTTGACAGTTACGCAGCCCTGCCTTGTGCGCCCCCATGGAAATTACCCACATGTCCACATGGACGATTTGCAATAACTCATTGCAGTTCCATGCGGCTCTTTTCTCACAGCTCATATGTGTCCAGTTGTTGGTATGCTCTACGAATCTTCTTGTTGCTTTCGGGTTCCATGTCAACTTTTTGACATGTCAAGCCCACCGCGCCCTTGGGAGGCCTGGCAGACACCCTGAACCGTGCCGCCGGCGTAAGCCCGTCCGAGCGTCGCTCTTTTGCTGCAGTTCAACCGGAAAGGCAGAGTGGGCCCAAATCCCACTGGTCCCGTGTTATTGGATGGGAGCCTTGTGATGAGATCCACGGTGGGGCAGTGCTACACCAGAGTGTACCACGGTACAGAATATTCAAATGGACCATCTTGGGGCTTGATTGGAGTCTATGTGTCGGGAGAAGCTGAAGAAGGTGCGAGGAAGACTGGCTCTTATGAAATTTGTGTCAGCTAACGAATCCGACACAAACCCAATTGGAGATCAGCTTTCGCGAATGTGTTGAAGCCAAAGCTGGGCTTCAAAACTAGCAGCGACGCTACTCGGTTTGGAACCCCGCAGTCTGCACTGTTGTCAAGGCTGCGGTTTTTTTTTGGAGCCGGTCGGTCCTCAAGTTTGTGACTCACACTTGCCCTTTTCGGCTGACCGTCGGCGCAGCCAATCAGATGGCAGATCCCACCGCGCTGCCGCCTTGGAAGCCTCTGCGGCCTGGGGCAGGCGTCGGGGTGGGGCGTCCGCTCTGCTTGCCCAGGCAGTTCGCTGCCTGATTAAAACGTCCTCTGCGCCCACTTTTCCGTCCTGCTTTCTCTTTCTCTCACCAAACCACTCACAACAACCAATTTTCAGACCAACCCAAGGCATCTACCAAGATGCGTTAAATCATCCCCTCCCCTCGTCGGAACTGCTCTTTGAGCCTCGTCAACATTTCTTCTTTTAAGAATTTTAACAATCTCCCCTCTCAACCCCCCCCTTCAGCTCTACCTTCACAGGTTGAACTGAACTACAGCACCCAGCTTTCCAGCTCGCGCTCCGGTTCACATCCCACCACCGCCATTCCCGGCCCAGACTTTTCAGTCTTCACCACGGATTCACATCAGTCATCATGGACTCCCTCCAGTACCTCGAGCCTGCCGGCACATTCCGCGCATCAACAGCCCCCACAGAATCTCAGCTTGCCCCAACAGGACTTCGTCTTGTTCGATTCGCCGATCAATCATCGTCCACATAGTAGCCGTACTACATCGCAACCTTCCGCCCACGGAGGTGTAAATCAACCACAGCAATATCGTAATCAGCCGCTCTTCCCGCAGCAGATCCCATCGCCATCACTGCAGAATCAGCGAGTTGCGAACATCATCCAGGCAACCGGCCACTCCACGACTTCATCGGCATTCACCAATCGGTTTACTACACAGAACTCGCGCCCATCGCCGCAACAGTTCTACGCCTCGTCCGCTCCATCTTCGTCTGTTGCTCTGAACATTCCCAAGCAACGCCAGCACCGCCCACCCGTTCCCCTGTTTCCACAAGGTCCCGGCGGCGTGCCACCAGGCAAGATGAACATTCAAGGTAATTTCACTCCGCAACACCACCTTGCTCGCCACAGAGGCTCACACATGAGATCAGACCTGGATTTGGACGACTTCACCGCCTTTGAGGGCGGTGCGTCTACCACGTACTCGTCGCCAGCTCTCCCGACTGTCTTCGATCTGAGCTCCAGCGTCTCGAGCACGGGGCAAAACCTGGCCACCGTCTCTCCTCAAGAGCTCATGATGAACGAGCCCTTCATGTCAGCACCCAACTCCACTGCTTTCACCGCTTTGACTTCGCCATCGCTGTATAACGGTTCCCCCGATTTCTGCGACAGCTATGAGACCTCTCCTCACTTTGGAGGAGGAGGTGATTTCGACTCCAACCCGGACAACTGGTTCCCCCTTTTCCCAACAACCAACACGGAACCAGAAGCCCCCAAGGAGGCGCTTGTTGGGCCTAAGCCTGAACAGTCCCCAGTAATTACCGCCGAGGAGCTCGAAGTCAAGTCGCTGGCCTCGGGACATCGTCGCAAGTCAAGCACTTCTCCACCAACCCGCCACTCGTCCATCGCCGGTGTCAACTCTCGCCGCCGCGACAAGCCCCTTCCTCCCATCATTGTCGACGATCCCACGGATACTGTCGCGATGAAGCGTGCTCGCAACACTCTTGCGGCTCGCAAGTCTCGGGAGCGCAAGGCCGCTCGCTTGGATGAGCTTGAGGAGAAGATTGAGAAGCTCTCTGCTGAGCGTGATCATTGGAAGCAATTGGCTTTGCAACTAGGTGCAAAGGAGTAAAATTGGTGCTCAGGAGTAAACCAACCAAAAAAAATAATAGGCAATCGGCTTCGTCGTACGGCACATTATCCCCCATTGTAATGGACATTGGGGAGGGGATTTCATCGGATTCTCATTTTTCTTTTTCTGTCTTTTCTATGGTTTTTTACTTGGGAAGCCGGTCGTCAGCTTTGTCAGCGGGCCAGGCAATGTCATTTGTCGTTCAGTATCTGGTCTCCTTGGAAGGAAATAACTAGTTGTTTTTTGACCATTCCCCTTGACCTTTCCGGTTCATTGTGTTCTTATAGACTCAATTAAACCCTATGAACTTGTGCTCCTGATTTCTCTGGCGTGACTATCTTTGACAGAAGTTTTTGTGACTGAGATGGTATGTGGTACTGTTGGTGACTGCTCTCGTAAGTGATACTCTCACACCTTTTGTCTCCCGACTGCTCCGTGACACGGGACAAGCTTTCAAGAATATGTTGCTGATGCATTCACTTCCAACTATTTCCACTGTAAAGCAGATGCCTGATGAGCCTCATTCTTCCACCAGTCCAGGTAGCTTCTCCGATGGACTTTGCGCAAGGCAACTGTGGTGTGGTGTGATGTCTCCGATTTGGAAACAGATGGTTGCCTAGGCTATCTCGTTTGTTCAGAAAATGACCCAGGTTGGTAAGCTCCATGTGGACTTGTTCGGTGAGTTGAAATAACTCATAGCAGAAGGACCATGAACAAAATTGAAGAGTAGACTTTAGGTGTTTATTGAGATGTTGGTAGCGTAGAAGGTATGAGGAAATTCTAGACGGTTGGGGAAGGTTAGTCTCACGAGCAGTTGAAGTAAACAAAGATGATACGATAAAAGTAGGCTTCATGGCAGGTAGATTGCTTTGATGTGTGCTGAGTTGCTCCGAAATGCAATGGTGGGTTGAGTGAGCATTATGAGAGGTGGTGGTAAGGCAATGTGTATGTTTGCCTACTTATGCATACCTTGCTCTTGTTGCAGCCTTGTGTTATCTGCTGTTCTGGGTATTGACTCGTCCTTGCTCTGATCTGCTACACTCTGGTTGCTTCTGTGGCTGTTCTTTCCTACATGATCTTCTTCCGAGTGCTCTCTTTTCAAACAGCCCCCTTATTCGCTACCTGCTCCAACCGCCTCCCCATTCGCGATTTCTGGCTATTCCATCTCCATTTTCCCCTCCCAAGGTGCTGTTTGTTACCTGGCACCCTCCCCATGAAATGATTAGCACAGCAAGTAAGCTAACCCCTTATTATACTGTAAACCATACCTAAAGTAATAGGGTTTTTTAATACTATCTTTAAAGGCTTGTTAACTGTCTTTAAAGACTATTAACTATCTTTCACAGCGTATTAACTATCTTTAAAGGACTAACGCCTATCTTTCGAGGTATGGTTTATAGTATAATGTAGATTTAACCTACTTTTGAGTGCTAATTATTTTGTGGTGAGGGTGCCTGGTCGTCCATCTTCCAGTTGCCGCTGTTCACTTGTTTTGTCCAAGCCGTCTCCTTCAAGTTGACTCGTTTCGACTTACTACTCGCCCACAATCATCATAGTTTTTCAAAAGACATAGCCGGCCAGCATCCACGCAGCAGACTCACAACTGAGTCATCATCAATATCCAGTCAGCCAACGTCAACATATCAACAGCAACGAGCAACAAACCATAACCAGCCAGTAGTTGCCAGTCCATCCGTCAGTTCCTGTATGTATATCACCAGTCACATTGAAAAGTCACGCATATCATCAGTCCCCAAAAGTAGCGCATAGCCTCATGTCATTTTGTATTCTCCAACTGGCCCCCATTTCCTATCTTAACCCCCTATCTTCAAACTACCATACAACCCCTTCCCCTTCTCTCCTCCCCCCTCCCATCCCCATCATCACCCGCCCAGCATTAATCACAAATAGTTTTTATCAATATCGTATCCCAGTTCAAGAAAAAAGTAATAATATCACCCCCCTCTTCCCCCTTCTTCACCACCCCATCCATCCCCTCGTCATCTTTTCTTTACTTTTCTCATTCCATCCAACCAGCACACCAATCATAACCCATCATCCCCGTGCACCATCACTCATACACAAAAAGCACAACAAACCAACAACCACGCATAAGAAAAAAAAAACCAACACAAGAAAAGGACATAGCCACATAACAATAAAGCTCCCGGTTCACAGTATGCTCTACTACATGAAACTACTTTCTTTCTTTCCTTCCCCTCTACCACGAAAACGTAAAAAAAACCCCTCTTGTATACCTCCCCTCCCACACACCCAATCATTGCTCTGTCTTGAGTGCCCAAAAAAATGGGCAGAATCAAATGCCCCCGAACCAAAAGCCGCCGAACCACAACGAGAGAGAAACACCCAACCCCCAGAAAGAAGAACCCCCCCCCCCCTTTTAACGAAGAGAATGGTAGAAGAAAAAAAAGTTAGTAGTAAAATAGTAAAATAAAATAAAACCGTTTTGTTTAATAGAAGAAAAAATAAAGGGAAGCCACTCGCTCTCTCTTCTGCTCTTCTTTCTCTTCTTGTTGCACCCCCCTAATGTGCCTACTCCTTCTCTCTGTTCCCCCCTCTTCCCCCAACTCAATATGTAAACCATCTCCATCATCTCCCCTTAAGCAACCAAGACGGATGGATCGACGGATGAATGGATGGCGTCTCCAATAATACTCGTACATATACACAAAAGGTTCGTGGGTATGTTGATGTTGATGCGGATGCAAAAAAAAAAGAGTTCCGCGGGTTTAGAATTGTGGTATCGTGTTTTGGTATCGTAGTGAACAATGTTGTGTGTGTGTGTGTTTGTGTGTGTGTGTGTGTGGGTGGGTGAGTGAGTGGGTGGGTGTTTGTGTTTGCGGGTCCCGACCATGCTAAACTTCCCATCCATCTAGCTCACGATCATCATCTGCATCCGAGGCGAGTCAGCAGACCCCCTGCCCAAGATAGAGTTGCTGCTGTGACTCTTTGGAAGCCTCCTGGGTGGACTAGACGCAGCAGGATCCGAAAAGACTCGCGTAAAGGCTGGGCTGCCATCCAGATTGAGATGCGAAAGTCGCTCACGACGAGGAGTGGTGGCCGGGCTTTGGGTAAGCAGTTCAGCTTTGCGTACTGCATCCGACAGCGAGTCTCGCAGGTGACCAGCCCTCTTCACCAGCTCTTGGAGACTGTTTGTGTCAAAGAACAGCTTGGTGTCTTGGGTCTTGGTGGCGGTGGCGGCGATGGGATCGGAAGTAGACCGCTGTTGCTGCATTGCCTGGATCACGGTGGCCAGAACGGCAGAGCTCCCATTGGGGCTTACCGAACCGTCTGGTGTTCGTGGTCGTGGAGGCTTAAGCGGCTCGTCGGGCAGTGGCCACTGACCGCCGAAAATATCGTCGTCAGGCGAAAACACCGACCGTCTTCGGACAGTCGCTCGTTCTCGTACCACTGTCGTCCGGGTCATCATCTGCGGCTCGGGAATCTCGAAAGGATCGTTAATGTCATCAAGCATGGAGCCATCAAACCCCTCGTCGATAAAACGTTCATCAATCTCATCAAGATCATCTCGATCAAAGTCCAGTGACAACTTGACTGAACCAAACTCATCAGCTTCGTCCTCATCGGGCGATGCCAGGGCAATAATATTTTCCGCCTCGACCCATTTTGGTTGTATGGCCCCGTGAATAATGTTGAGGTCTTTGCCATGGCGGCATAGTCGTTTCAAGTCATTGACGAGCAAGGAAAGTTCCCGTATTTGACCCGAATGGGCTTTTACACTCGGCTGACTGGCTTGAATCGACGGGGGAACGACCATAAAACTCGTGCTAGAGTCCTTTCCTCCGGTCGTATCAAGCGGGGTTTCGTCAAAAACGAAATCATCATCCCAGTCCTCGCTGGCATTCTTTGTACTCAGCCCCCATGTTCCAAACTTTGGAGGCGGTTTGGATTCATCAGTAGGTTCTGGAACAACAGGAACGCTCTGGCTCCGTACATGCCCGGCTTTCGGGGCTTTCCGACTTGTCGAACGACCAATCCTCAAATCCATCTCCTGCTTCCCATGAACCGTTTTGGGTCGGGTTGTATCGGAATCGAGCTTGTCATGGATCGATGGTTCTGACCAGTCAAATATGCTGCTCCTCGGCCGGTCGCTCATACTATCACGAGACAGATCGGGGCTCCCATTCCCACCCAAATTTTTGAGCGCATGCCGAAGTGTCGGACTGACACGTCTCGAATTCGTCGAGCTCGGTGGCGAAAGATGATTGCTCAAAGTGTTATCGTCGTCTCGTGCCCAGTCATCGTCGTCGTCATCATCAAAAGATAACCTGGCCGCAAACTCTCGGTGTACCAGCATCAGACCTCCCTGACCACCATAGCCAAACCCGTCCAACTTGATCGGCTTTGTTGTGCCATCCAGGTGAGTGCTCCGAACAGGCGTGGCTGCACTGTCTTCCTCTTCAGTGATCTTGGTTTCGCCATCCCATCCACGTCCCAGCATCTCTTGAATCGATAACCTCTTGGTTTTGCCGTTGCTGGCAGTGCTCGGTGGCGATTCATCAAACATCGAGTCTAGCGGTGTCTCAACAGACCGAACCCGACTGGAAGAGGCGATGGTGCGGAAGGAATCGTAGGCATCACTCCGGACATCTGTGTCTTCGTCATCTGCATCGTGGACCTCAAAGTCGGAGCCTGCCAGCGTGATTGATCGTTCCCCCGAAGGACCTCGGCTATGTGTGGGAGCAGGAGGGTTCTGGGAGCCGTTCATGTAGTTTATCGGGGTATGGAATGATCTTGGAGGCGGTGTGGAAGAGGAAGAACTTGACAGCCCAAGTCGTGAAACGTCGATGTTGAAGCTGGATAGACGGTTTAATGGCGGAAGAGGAGAGGGTGAATTTCTCTTGCGGTTCCGTGGAGCATCCGAGAGGGTTGGTGCAGGCTCAAGCTGTGGTGCTTGCGGCTGGTAGTTGGGTGGCACAACAATTTCTTGTGTGGTTGGGCTGCCCGGAGACTGCATTGGGTCGCGAAGCATGCCGGCCAGGTCGGCGGTCGCATATCGATTATCATTTCCGCCCTTGGCGTCAACGGTACTCCTTCTAGGACGCCGAACGCTCGAGGTTCTCGCGATCCAGTTTTGGGCTGAACTAAAATGCATCGACATTGACCTCTTCGGTCGCTTCTCGGAAGATGTTTCGGGCGAGTCGGTGGGGTTGACTGGACTCTGCAGAACCTCTAGGTCCTCGATGTGCCCGAAATCTTCTTCCTGCTGCTCAGCTTCATCCACAAACACAGGAATGTCTGTTATGCAATCTGCCTTGGTGAGGTATGCTCGAGAAACATGGCCTGGGGTTAGAGACACTCGTCTTTTGGGGAACAGGGAAGCGAGCTTAGCGCTCTGTCCACTCGTAAGTCCTGAAGCGTCACGACCAAGGCCCGCCGCCCGCCGAGCATGAAAAAACGACGTCCATCTGCTGGAGGAACGCTTAGAGCCGCCAAATGATGAAGACGTTGGTGTTTCTGTCTCTGGGACACTCGAAGGCTCATATGAAAACTTGGGCCCGGCCCCAGCTCCAGCGGAAGGCGGAGGGTCAACCGAGTTACCTTGCAGTTGTGATTGTTGCTGCATGGTTGCTGTCCGTTGGTGGCTAGTAGCCGGTCTCCGGAGGGTCAACACCTGCGACTTGGAGCCCCGCCGTTGGTGAGATCCGTGTGGCTCACCGAAACCAGGGGCATTCCTCTTTACCAACTTGTTGGGGGCCGAGCTGGCAAGTGATTGTTGCCCAAGCATCGGGACACCTGAGCCATGTGAGAATGTCAAGGATGACGAGTCGGGTCCCATGCTTGACCTTGGGGCTCCCGTGTTGTGAGATCGGGCGTAATGAGAAGCGCCGAATCCACGATTCCCTAGAAGACACGGAGTCGCGAGCACTTTCTACATCCTGCCGCGGCACTGATTCTTTGGTATCTTGGCGAAGAAAGGACTGTCTCCCGCTGGTAGTTCTCGGTGATGTGACCGGTACGGCGCTGCCGGGTCGCTGAGGTTGAGCCGCTTCCGTGGTAGGGGACATCAGAGGACTTGGTGTTGGGTCGACAAGCTGGCGAAACGAGCCGTAGGCAAACTCCTGGACTGGTGAAGAGCATCGTTGCTGCAGAGCTGCGGCACTCGTGTTAGGCCTCGCGCTCGAGGCTTGAGAGCCGAAGGCATCGTAGTCGGCAGAAAATACTCCTGGGTTCGGGCTGGACCACGGCGGCACTTCCGACTCTGACGGCTGACCAAATACCAGACCAGCAGCGGCGGCCGCAATGGCAGTGCCGGTTCCCACAAGCTATAACACAATTTTGTCAGTTGCCAAGTCCATCTCAAGAGTTGTTTGTAGTCCCATCCATGTGCTTGTGCTTCCTTCCGCCAGAGCTCCTCGTCGTCCAGATTACTTACACTCGGCACAGCCTGCATCCTGGCTGCGGACGGACTGTTATCTCGACGGCGAAGCGTGGCGAGAGAAGAAAAGGACGGGGAGGGTGTCGGCTTTAGTTCGGGTCGTGGTTCGCATCGTCAGGGCATTAGAGGGCGGGAGTAGATTGTCGGGGTCGGAGAAATTGAGCTGAAGCAATGCGGAATGTGGAATGCGGGCCCGGTATGGCACTGTCGCGTCCTTGCCGTCAACAGCTTCGCCGTTGTTCACCTGGGGAAACAATACCGAGCCTGTAGGAAGGCAGCCGGCGCGCAGAAAGCTGCTCCTCCTAACTAACGCGAAGTCGCTTTCACTTGTTGCGGAGCCCGGCACGGGGAGAGCGAGGACAACTCCGTTTGTCGTGGAGTCAACGCGGGCGGGCTGCAGCTGACAATGAGGAGATCCACAGCACAGCGTGACAAGGGCTTTCAGCCTTTGAATTCGTCAGGATGGGGTCGCAATGGGCCGTGGCCGGGTCGTGATTGTGGCCGTTGCTGTGGTCGTCGAGAGGAGACTATCGCAACCCGAGTGAGGGCAAGGGAGGACTGTGAGTGGAGGGCCGTTTGCCAAAACAACACCGCCTTTAGCTTCTCTCTCGTCCCAAACACGCGCAGCTGCAGGCGCAATTCCTCCTCCTTCAGGGAAAAGGGAAAACAAAAGACGAAAAGGAAAGAATAGGGTAGAGGTAGAGAGAGAGAGTAAGGTGAGATTAAAGGTCGTGTCAAAACAAGCAACCGACGACGGTACTGGGGACGGCAGCAACGAACGCCGAGCCAGCAGAGAACCTTGGAAGGGGAGAAAATAGACGGTAGGTTGTTGCTGCGATGCCCAGGAACTGGGACTGGGACTGGGGCGGGCTGCGACTGTGGGGCCCTCGGACAGTGCGGGCGTTTCTGTCGCTTCCTGGGGGGGCTTGCTCCAGGTCCTTGCTGCAACACGCTACCTCGAGCATTCTCGGGTACCGTACGGCGCGAGCGACTCAGAGAGCCCTAGCGATGTGCACACTCTCTTTTTACTGGCCTCTGGTTGCTCGGGGTACGCGCATCCTCCAACTCCCCCCAGACGCACGCCATTGCGCAGTTCAGTCAGCCACTGGCCGACTGCCAGCCAACCTCATGCAACAACAAATACCGCCAGTCAAGGGAGCTTATGGATAAGAGATCCCCTCACGTCTGAAACTGGGGAAACCTGGTTCATGACTCTCGTCTGTCTGTCTTCCCCTCTTCTGGCCATCCGACCACCTGCGGAACTGGCCGAGACTCCCAGGTTTATATGTACGCCATCCAACCACCACGGACGAACGAGAACACCTCCTCTGAAGCAGAGACACAGCACCGGAGACAGAGAAACGCCGTCCGGCCTCACAACCGGCCGCAGGGAGGATGCTGGGACTCGAGAGCTGGGACCACCTGGGACGGGACCGCCTGAACATCATGCAGTTGCAGACTCATTTACAGGTACATACAGGCACTGTCAGGCACAGGCACGCGCATCAAATCCATATTATCATCTCCAGATAAAACGCCCCCCACACGCAACGACGTTGCTAAGCTTACTTGAGGAGCAACGGCTCCCAAAACAGCACTGGCCCCGAGGCAAGGCGATCCAAGATCCGATGCAAATCCAGCCCAGCTGCTGCTTGGTTCGCCTGAGGCTCGTCCGTATAGCGCTCCTTTTCCCACTTTTACTTTGTATGACGTTTGGACATATCTCTTGTCCTTAACGACAACTGCCCACCCGACATCTAACAGCCGGTTGGCCAATCTACCCGCCACCACAGAGCAGAAAACCCGGGTACTTTGCTTCGAAACTAAACACGAGCCAGAAGCCGAGACTGCCGCCTTCTTGCCGCTGGTGCTGACCTGCTGTATATCAAACCCAGTCAATATATAATACCAGACCTCGGCCAGCCAAACACATGCACGGGAGAGCCATTCGCCCGTCTGCAGGGTTTCAACTATCTGTGCGCCAGTATTGAGCCGTACCAAACACTCTCTCGTCACCTTTCTTTTTTATTTAATACCTCTGCAACAATTATCTACTTGTATTCAAATACTGATTTCATGATGCTCCCGCCCAGGCGACCTGCAGCGAATAGCTGCATCTATGAGCCAGCCCACTTGACAAGAAGGATCAGACTACCAGCCAACGACAGCCAGACAAACCTGCATTACTTGCATGAGAAAACAGGCATGCGGATGATCTGCTTTCTTTCCCCTCCTTTCCACACTCCACACTACTCCGGTTTTTGCTCTCTGCTAGGTTTATCAAGTTCCCAGTTCCCAGACTGGCGGGCTCCTGACACGTAGGACCATCCACATGGAACAAGAATGGATTGGCAAAGGAGGTTCTGGAAATGTTCGTGATACCCCGCAAAATCCTACACCCGAAAGAGACTATCTTCCAATGCATAACCAACTTGATTAATTGACACACACCACTAGACGCCATCCCAAATACCGTGCAGGACAGTAGTGTCCCAACCATGCAGTACTATCTCAAGTCTGAAAACGACAGATGACACAAGGGCGTCATCCCATCCGTTTTCCGTTCTTGTCCGCCCAGAACTTTTCAACCTTCGTCTAGTGTCTGAGAAATCAGTGGATGCCAGTTGATGAACCCGTCAAGTTGCCCTTACACAACACCAAACTATTACACAGGTTTGACCAATACACAAGGCATCACAGCATCGAAGTGCACAACACCACGCTAGCAGGTTACGGCGGTACGCTTCTTCTTCCGTGATACCCTTCTGTTTGGAGGTTGTGTATTGGTATCACGCACAACAACAAGTCGATGCCATCTCGAATTTTTTTTCCTCTGTATGAGACAGACAGATGATCACCCGTTGAGACAAAAGAGATCTGAGCCCTATGCTGCCCTTTCCCCGCCACCGACGTAGATCAACGTGGGCTGGGGCCTTAAGGGACTTTTTTAACCTCAGACCTTGTCAGTGCTTTTTTGTCGATCGAATAAGAAAAAAAAAGAAGGCAGAAAAGAAAAGTTCCCTCGAGTGAGATATGTCTTGCATCAGACAGTGCACAGTGCTTGCCTTGTCGGTCGTGATATGCGGTCGTGCTACGCAGCAAGTACTAGTCTCACTCTTATCTTACCCTCATGGCTGACATGACATCCTAGCCATGCGAGCGAAGTGAGCGACGATCCCGCCTCCCTGACCTCCCCGTCTCGGCCCGGGAGAGAGGTGTGGGCGGCAGGCAAGATCATTTCCTTCCCTCGCATTTGTTCCCTTGTCTCGGGGGGTTCAATATGTAGCTATTATTGCCCCGTTTCGCTCCGTACATACATAAGTTATTTAACTTGACCACTTTTGTTTTGGTTTTCCTCTGTGCCCCAGAGATACATCCCATCCCCCCATTTCCATCGGATATCTCCTTTGGTGCAACCCTCGTTCTCTCTCGAAGCCCAATGGAAGTACCCAATCCACCCACCCCGGAGAAATCTCCTGACTTCCGGCGCCTGTGGTGGTTGCCCTCCATCAAATCGACTGGGGCAAGGCTCATCCTCGCCTCTTGGAACTGCATCTACGCGGCAGCCTTTTTCAGCCCGACGAATATGTATGTACGGGGTATCTTGTGTAGGCTTTCGGCAGGTGAGGTAGGCAGGTAAATGCAAGCACCCAACTGCAAGGGTCAGGGTCCCTCACCCATCATCAGCTCAGAGTACCATTGAGGCTTTATTTCCACCGGGCTATTGTTAGAAACCCCCCTCCTTCTGTAAGGCGTAGCACACACACACACATACATGATACAAAACACAACCCCATCACCTCGACAACCGATCTCGGTGTTCATCTGCCTCAGACAGCAGGTTGATCCAACATCTGTCAATGCCAAACCACCGGCGAGCATTTTCTAGAATTTCTTATTACGGTTAACGCTCAGACTCCCTTGAAGATCAACAAGAAAGGGAAAAAGCAAAAACGCGGCCGTTGTGGACAAAATCTGAAACAAGCAACGGCTCTCTCTCTCTCTCGTAAAATCCCCCTTGTCCGGTGAAAGGTGGGGTTTAATCAGCACTACGGCTTACCGCCGGGACACCCACCGCCAGGAGCCCGGCTAGGCATCACGGCGTAGCCTCCTGTTGGTCACGGGCCTAACCTACTTTGGCATTTCCGTCGAAAAACATCAAAAACACCAGTGGCAGCTCACATGCACAACCACACACATTTGCAAGGCCAAAAGTCGGTCAAAATAAGCCAAAATAAGTGCAAAATGAAGGGGAAAAGCCTGGAGATTCAATATAAGAAATACTTCAATATACATCGCAGCTTCGAGAAATATTAAAACGCATACGTAGGCAGGGTTACAACTTAAACGGCATCACCACACTATCTAATTCAAAACTACCACCCAACTCAACAGCCAATTCAACAGCCAATTCAACAGCTACTAGTCTTGCAATTACAGCTAGCCTAGTAATACGAGCCTTAAAGCCTTTACCTACTACACAGGCCGGGCAGGGTGGAAACAGTAGTGGTTAGAGATAGTTATAGGCAGTATTAACTACTGCGGTGGAAGGTGATTAAAATATTCGTTGTTGGATAGGCCTGCACGAAATTACAGTTGATTTTAGTGTGTTTTGACCGTTTTTCGATGTTTGTGGGATCTTTTACTTGATGTGATGCCTGGTCGGGCTCCACCACCAGCCAGTGCTTACCGTCCTTCTCGGATCATCAGCCCCGTCCATTGTCCTTACGTACGATTTGTTTTACTTCCGCCGCTATCTCGGAGCGGGAGCGGGCATCGAGTTCATCGATTTTCCGCACATTGTCGGCATCAATCCGTGAATATAGGTAAGGTTACGGATACAACCCCCAAAACCCCGATGACGTTGTTGTAGTCACAACCCCAGATACTTCCAAGAGATTGCCCTGTGGAGAAAACCCCTCCCCGGAGCTTGCCAACATCCAACAATTGACAAGCCAGGGCATGCCAGCAGGCAAGGCAGGACAATGGGAGACCAAACACCTGATGCTGCTTGAGCAATGCTTTGTTGGAGGAGAGGAAGTTCAACGTTGTGGTGGAGATACCTATTCCTGTTGTCAAAAAAACCTCCCTCGTAAAGATCATGGCTAAAAGGAAGGAAAGACGGTTGTGAAACCGGGCCACCACAGCTTGCTTCCCGGCCTTACGGGTTGGAACAAGAAACATTAATTGTTCTCTGATATATGGGCTCGGTTGTCCGCCTGCGCCGGGTATTCACCGAGGACTGTAGTAGTATTCGTATGATGTTTCCTTGTTTGAGAGAGGGTCTTTGCTGCAGTCATCAAGGAGCTTGGAAGAATAGTAGCCGAGTTGTGTTGCTTTGTCGAAAAGGAGGCTCTGGGGGGTTCACGGGCCAACAAAACCAACATGAAAACATGGGGAGAAATCCTAATTCAGATCCTGCCAGTCAAAATGCGAGATGCGAGAGAGGCAGAATCAATTGATGGAGAGGGGCCGTCGTTGTAGATAGAGAGAGTGGTCTTGGGTTGGAACGACACGCAGCGATTGGTGCAACACGCTCAGTCGCGCAAAAGAAGAGAAGCGGCCTGAGCCGCGTTTCCGATCGCGTCATTCCACTTCTGGAAAAGCCAAGGCTCGCCTTGCTGGGCACAGGGCAGGTTGGACAGTGTCGACAAGGGAGTAAGATGTACTGTGCTAGATTTGGAGCTGGGGTTGGAGCTGTGATGAAGATTCCCTGTCTGCGACGTTAACAAACGGCGGCGCTTAGGGGGATGATGGTGGTTGTGATGAGGTGCACACCGAGAGAACCTCGCTTGCAGAAAACACACGGAAGACTGAGAAAGTGAGATCATGTCGGAGATGCCTCTCATTCTGGAAGTTTGGAAGATTGAACTCGAGCTGACAGCTCTTCGTTGTCGAACATGGACCAATCAGCGGCCAAGACCGCCAGCTGACCGGCGGCTGCAGCACAACGACAATCTCCGCTCCAGAGAATTCTCAGCATGCAACAGCACCCGATTGCACAAGTGGCATACGATTCAAACGACACTGAAGGATATCAATCAGAAGCTCGCCAAGTGGTGATTTTACCCTATCTGATAAGCAAACGCCACAATCACATTTGCATCACCCCAGAATTACCGCCCGCCATGGACGCCGAAATCAGATCGGTCGTGCCGAACATCGACCCCGTGATTTCCGAGTACTCGGCCGGCTACCTGACCCATGCCTCCACAGCTTGGTCCGGGTCCGGGGACGAGGAGGCCACCGGTCCGTCTCCGCTCGACGAGGCTGCCATTGCTATCACCGACCTGCTCGTCTCTGCCTCTGGCAACCCCAGCCCTGCTCAGCGAGAGAAGATCCAAGGTCTCGTTCAGAAGTGGGTGGACAAGTATGCTGCCGCCACCGACAAGCTCGATAGGAGAGGCCCTGCCGTCCGGCGTCTGGACCAGACCATTCAAGTGAGCTCGCAAAGGAACATGTCCTCGACTCTTGCCGTCGCCACTGGTGGTGTTGATCTGGAGTCGGCCAATGTCAGGAAGGTCGAGTCCAAGGTCGATAAGAAGAAGCTCGAGAAGGCCGAGAGGAAGATTGCCGCCAAGCAGAGCAAGAAGACCTACAAGACGGTCGAGTATGAGGCTTCGCGCCTCCTTAACCAACCAGATAACACTCAGTCGTATGAGGATTTCTACATGGCTGTCAACCCGCTGCAGCTGGGTGGTGCCCAGAGCGGCAAGTCCAAGGATATCAAGATCGACAACATCGATGTCTCGATTGGTGGCAGCAGAATCTTGACCGATACCACTTTGACTCTTGCCTATGGTCACCGCTACGGTCTCGTTGGTAACAACGGTGTGGGTAAATCTACTCTTCTGAGAGCTCTGTCTCGAAGAGAGGTTCCTATCCCGACTCATATCTCTATTCTGCACGTCGAGCAAGAGATTATGGGTGATGATACCCCAGCCTTGCAGGCCGTGTTGGATGCCGATGTTTGGCGCAAGGTGTTGTTGAAGGAACAGGCCGTATGTTTAATTTTCCCAACCTATTAGGGCAGTTGCTAACAAGACAAACAGGAAATCACAACGAAACTGGCAGACATCGAAGCCCAGCGTTCTGGTATGGCAGACACTGCAACGGATGCCGCGAGACTAGACAAGGCCCATGGAGCCCTTGACAGCCGGCTTGGTGATATCCAGGGCCCTTAATATCCAGCCTTA